ACAGAGCCCCAAGACGGCCCCAAGATGCGCCCAAGAGGGGGACCACGACTCCAAAATTCGACCCTCCCGCTTGAAGAGTGCCCAGGAGGCCCCAAGGAGCCCCCAAGAGGCCCCAGGAGGCCCCCAAGAGGCACCCAGGAGGCCCAAACGAGGCCAAAAGAGGCCACAAAACAGCCCCGAGGAGACCCCACAACTGTCCCAAAACGGCTACCCAGAAGCTGCGAAACTGCCTTCACGACGTCCCCGACAGGCCAACCACGAGATCCAAACCAACACCCATGAGGCCTCTGACCCACCACCCAGGGCACTGTGGCGGGAGCAGTGACAGCACTTGTGCACAGCATGTTCCGGCGGGAGCCTTCCGGAACACGCTGCAGGAGGAGGAAGATCAGGAGGAGAGAGAGAGCTGGAGTGGGAGGAGGAGGAGGAGGGGGACGAGGAGGAGGAAGAGGCCTCCCAGACAGCTCCAAGATAGCCGAAGAGGCTTCCAAGAGGGCCCTGGGCGGCCCACGAGGGCCCCAAGGCGGTGCCTGAGGCGCCCAAGACGGCCCGAGAGGGCCCCAAGACGGCCCCAAGAGAGGCCCAAGAAGGGAAACACGAACCGAGAATCCGAGCTTTCTACCCCGAGAGGGTCTCGGGAAGTCCCAAGAGGCCCCCAATCGGATCCAAGAGGCCCCCAAGAAGCTCCCAAGAGGGCCGACGAGATTCCAAGAGATCTCCCAAGGTGGCCCCAAGAGGCACAACACATTGTTTTACGATTGGGCTTTGACGTTTTTTTTTCGGCCTTTTGGCATCCCGATGCTCCAAGACGGCCCCAAAGGCTTCCAACACCGCTCCCACATAGAGAAAGAGGCCTCCAAGAGGGCCCCAAGACGGCCCGCGAGGGCCCCAAGACGGTGCTTGAGGCGCCCAAGACGGCCCGAGAGGGCCCCAAGAGCCCCAAGAGAGGCCCAAGAAGGGGAACGCGACCCAACAGCAGAGCGGTCCCCCCACAAGGCCCACAGGAGGCCGCAAGAGGGGCCCGAAAACAGCTGCCTGACCCTCCATGGGAGTACCGGGGCTCATTTTCACTGTGTTCTCACAGGGTTTCGGCGTCCCGGGCCTCGGAGGCCGCCGCGATGGTCCCGGACATTTTCCAGATCCTCGGCGCGGGCTCCAAGACCATTCCGCAGAGGGCTCCAACAGGCTCCAGGGCAGCCCAAGAGGGCTTCAAGACGGCTCCAGGAACGACTGCAGGGTCTCATTTTTCTTTTGTTTTCTGCAAGACGGCTCCAGGAAGACTGCATGTCTTCTGAGGATGGCTTCCGCCTCTTGCCCCGAGCATCCCAAACTGCCTGAACGGTTCCCACTCGCCTTCCTCAAACCCAGCGCTTGCCCAAGCGCGTTCCGGACGGTCTTCGCCGGAACGCGCTGGAATGATCACGCGCTGCGGTTTCCCATGCCAGCGTCCTCGGACGTGGGCGCCCTGCCACGAGCGCGTTCCGGGAAGATGCTCCTGGAACGCGCTGAAAAGATCTGGCCACATCTCGGGGACGCTCCCGGCACCGCTGCCCCAGCCTTTCTGGGCAGCCTCCACAGCGCTCCAGGAGGGCCCAAGACGCCCCCTAGGAGACCCCAGAATGCGAAAGGATGGCCCAAGACGTTCCCGAGCAGCCCAAGTCAGCCTTCCGACGGCTCTCGAGGCTCCCAGGTGGCCTCCAAGAGACCCCAAGAAGTCTGATAGGTATCGCGGTACGGCCCGAAGAGGCCAAAGTCGTATATGTTCAATGGTCTTTTCAATGTTTTTGGCTTCTCGCGTTTTTCGAGCTCCCATCGGTCCAAGAGCGCCGAAAAGCCTCCATGGGGGTACTGGGGCGCATTTTCCCTATGTTTTTTAAAGGGTTTCCGCGTCCTGGGCCTCGGAGGCTGCCGCCTCCGACCCCCCATGGGAGGAGGGGCGGCCGGGGAGGTCCAAAATAGTCCAGGAGGGCCTCCAGAGGCTCCCAAGACGGCCCAAGCGGGCCCCGAGTCGCCGAAAGACCGCTCCAGGACGCCCAAGATAGGCTCAAGACGGCCCGAGAGGCCCCCCAAGGCACTCCACGACGCTTCAAGACGCCTCTCCAGAGCGCTTCCAGAGGCCGAAATCGTCAATTGTACGAAGGTTTTCGAACGATTTTGGCCTGCCAGCCTTTTCGGCTGTCCGACGTTCCAAGACGGCTCAATAGGCCCCCAAGGGCGCCCCAATACGGCCCAAGAGGGCCCCAAGACGGCCCCAGAGTCGCCCAAGACAGCCCAACAGAGCCCCAAGACGGCCCCAAGATGCGCCCAAGAGGGGACCACGACTCCAAAATTCGACCCTCCGGCTTGAAGAGTGCCCCAGGAGGCCCCAAGGAGCCCCCAAGAGGCCCCAGGATGCCCCCAACAGGCACCCAGGAGGCCCAAACGATGCCTACAGAGGCCACAAAACAGCCCCGAGGAGGCCCCACAACGGTCCCAAAACGGCTACCGAGAAGCTGCGAAACTGCCTTCACGACGTCCCCGACAGGCCAACCACGAGGTCCAAACCAACACCCATGAGGCCTCTGACCCACCACCAGGGCACGGTGGCGGGAGCAGTGACAGCACTTGTGCACAGCATGTTCTGGCGGGAGCCTTCCGGAACACGCTGCAGGAGGAGGAGGAGGAAGATCAGGAGGAGAGAGAGTTGGAGTGGGAGGAGGAGGAGGAGGAGGGGGACGAGGAGGAGGAAGAGGCCTCCCAGACAGCTCCAAGGTAGCCGAAGAGGCTTCCAAGAGGGCCCTGCGCGGCCCACGAGGGCCCCAAGGCGGTGCCTGAGGCGCCCAAGACGGCCCGAGAGGGCCCCAAGACGGCCCCAAGAGAGGCCCAAGAAGGGAAACACGAACCGAGAATCCGAGCTTTCTACCCCGAGAGGGTCTCGGGAAGTCCCAGGAGGCCCCCAATCGGATCCAAGAGGCCCCCAAGAAGCTCCCAAGAGGGCCGACGAGGCTCCAAGAGATCTCCCAAGGTGGCCCCAAGAGGCACAACTCATTGTTTTACGATTGGGTTTTGACGGGTTTGAATTTTTTCGGCCTTTTGGCATCCCGATGCTCCAAGACGGCCCAAGAGGCTTCCAATACCGCTCCAATATAGAGGAAGAGGCCTCCAAGAGGGCCCCAAGACGGCCCGCGAGGGCCCCAAGACGGTGCTTGAGGCGCCCAAGACGGCCCGAGAGGGCCCCAAGAGCCCCAAGAGAGGCCCAAGAAGGGGAACGCGACCCGACAGCAGAGCGGTCCCCCCACAAGGCCCACAGGAGGCTGCAAGAGGCCCCAAAGTGGTCCGACGAGGACCCCAACAGCTCCCCGAGGGCCCAAAAGGCCCCTGGGAGACGTCCAAGAGGTTTTAAAATAGCCGAAGAGTGCCCCAAATGCATCAAAGCTGCTTCCAGGAGGCCCCTGGGAGGCTTCCGGCTTGCCTCAATCTGGCCGCAGGTGGCCTCAAGTCGGGCCTCCACGCAGCCAAGACGGCCAATGACGGCTTCAGATTGCAGAACTGATGCCCCCAAGGGATCCTCAGACGCCCCCCCAAGAGGCACCCAATAGGTGCCTCCAACAGCCAGTTGACGAAGCATGCGGAACACCCCAGAAGCTCCTCAGATGCCGTCGCGCGCCTGTGCTTGATAGCGTTGTCCAAGATCGTCCAGCGCCCCCCGGGCCTGGGCTAGAACCTGAGCGCGCGCGAAGCGCGCGCGATGGTTCTAGTATATATATATATATATATATATATATATATACTCATATAGATCGAGAGAGAGAGAGAGAGAGAGAAAGACATACTACAAGATGGCTGTATCATCTCTTCGGGTCGGACGCACGCTTCCGAGTAGGACGCACGGTACGAGTACCACAGTAGGTCTTGTTTTTGCGCCCCGTGCGTTCTGCTCACTCCGCCGCGGCGGGTGCGCGAGGCCCTGGCGCGGCGGCGGCCCCCAGCGTGGGCGGTTCAAGGCCGAATGCCGTCAGACGGCCGCAGGCGCTCGAGGCGGGGTGATCCGCTCGGTGTCACAGACCAGCGCCGACGCCATCGCGACGTGAGCTTGCCGCACCCCGCTCTCGGGGGGGCTCGTGTCTGCCGCAGGCCTTTCCGCAGCTCCGTGGCATCCCCTCCTGGGCTCCTTCGAGGCTCCTTTATTCCCGGATGGCCCTCTCAGAGCTAAGAGGGCTTCAGACTGGAGGCCGGCAGCGCAGGGTAGGCCAGCTTCCTCTCCACGGCCGCTCCTTCACGTCCCTCTTCCTGAGCTCCTTCGAGGCTCCTTTAGTCCCAGATGGCTCTCTCAGGGCTACCTCCTATGACAGGGCTTCAGACTGGAAGCCCGCTGCGCGGGGCAGGCCAGCCCCCTCCCCATGGCCCCCGGGCAGGCGTCCCCGCGGCGCCCCGCTTACAGCTGCAGCCTGCGGCGCGAACCTGCCGCGGTGACCCTCCCCTGGGGGGGGGGGGCCGCCTTGCCGACGACCGCTCCTAAAGGGCGTCGGAGCCGACGGGCCGTGTCCCCCCCCCGCCCAGGAGGAGGGGGCCGGCTCATCAGAGTGAGGGAGTCAGGGGGAGGGAGGCGGAGGAGGAGGAGGAGGAGGAGGAGGAGGAACAGGAGGTGGGAGGGAGGAGGAGGAGGGAGGAGGAGAAAGGGGAGCATTGACGAGGAGGAGGAGGAGCGGAGCCGGAGGAGGCGGGGCGAGGAGGAGGAGGAGGAGCGAGGAGGAGGGGGAGGAGGAGGGGTTCTTGGAGGGCCACAGCTTCCCCAGCTGTGGCCACATCGGAGGACCCGCCCTCCAGGCCGCCAGGGGGGTGACCGCGCCTCCCGGGAGGCGGCAGGGCCTCTGCGAGGCGGGCTGCCCTCCGCAGCTGGCGCCCCCCCCCCCCGCCCCCACGCCCCCCTATGCTGCCTCCTTCCTCCCCCTCCTCCTCCTCCTCCCACTCCTCCGTCCTCCTCCTCCTCGTCCTCCTCCCCTCTCCTCCCCTCCGCCGAGGCGAGGGCGGGGCCTGGGAGGCCGCGGGGCAACTTCACGATCGCCGACGACTGGCCCTTCCATGACCGCCGGGGGAGGGCCGTCCAACAGGTGTGCGGTCTGATGGTCCGCAGGGCGCGTGTGAGCCCAGTGCTCGGGTGTTGCTAGAAGTGCTCCTGGCCAAGGGTGCCCCCAGGACTTCCAGGGAGGCCCCCACTGCCTCCAGAGAACCCCTCACGCGGCCCAGAGGGCCCCAGGGGCTCCAACATTGAGCGGGCAGCTGGGGGCACCGTGGGATATGGGTACCATGCTAGCAACCCCCGACAGGTGTTACCCTGCTCGTTCGTGGTTTGCCACGGCCGCCCACCGCGCTCTGGTCCTGCGCGCCTGGCTGCTGCTGCCCCCCCCCTCCCCGGCTGCTCATCGTCGAGCTCTTCGACGTCTGAGCGTCCCTTCTTCCTCTCGGCAGTCTGCGCCCCCCCCTCCCCTCTTTGTCCGCCGGCCAATTCGCTAGTTATATGTGATGCATTACGTTGCCGCAGTATTGCTTAGTTTTGTCTTGTCGGGCAACACTTGTGCCATTGTGTGTGCGCTGGTGCAGCAGAGCGCGTGTCTTGCAACGGCTTGCGCTTGAGGGCGCAATAACCTGAAACAGTTGTACGATCCCCGTCGTACCGAACGCTTGCAATCCTCTTGGCAGGGACGGGGGGGCTCGCCAATGAGACAGAGTACAGCGATGACCTACTCGAGAGTTGTACGACGTTTATGCATGACGCGTGCAGTGAGTTCATCCGTGCTTACAGTCAGGCAGAAGTGCACTACTGCACCCGGGCTTGCCCCCCCGCACCTGGGCCCACACCGATCAGCACTTTTTGATGTCCACTTGCTTCCGCTGAAGGCCGTTGGCTTCCGTCCGCCATCGTCGGTTTCCGATGGTGTCTGCCACCTCCAGATGTCCCGAATCCGGTGTCCTTTACTCTGCCTGCGTGCAGGACACTTCCTCCAAGGTCGACGCCTGGCTCTGGATGATGAACGAGAGGAAACTCAGCAGCATGTACGATCCGGTCTTTTGGACCCTCGGCGAATCGCTGCATGGCGTAGGAGCAAACGTGGCTCTAGTCTGGGAAAGCAACAGTCAGGACATGCTTCGGAACGTCACCGCCGCCCTGGAGCGGGGACGGACACCACTGATTGTGACGATCGCGCACTACTACGCTAATCCAGGTCCGCGCGGCGGTCAGAAGATATTGCAGCAATGTGGCGACCGTGGTGCGTTCATCGTTTTATACCAGACAGAGCCGGTCGAAAAGGAAGCTCACTTGGGGGACATGGTCGACCGCTTCAAGCCGAAGGAGATCTGGGACTACTCGCACAGGAACCTGGACTGGTACCCAGAGTCCGCGAAGAGCTTGTACCGCTACATGCCCCCTGGGTACGCCTGGGGCCTGGACTTCGGCGTCGAGGCGGTGACTCCTGCTCGCACGGCCCGCATGGCCAAGACGGAGAGCAAGGTCGGCTTCCTGGGGGGCTGGCACTTCCGGGAGAACGCCACGACCGACCTGTACCATGAGGTGTTGGAGGGGAGGATTGTTAGCAGGGAGGACGTGTGGACGAAGGACGATACGATCGAGTTCCTCACGAACTACCCGATCCAGCTGAACACGCACAAGCTGGAGAGTCGGGGGGGCGCCAGACGGGGCCATAAGACGAGGATAAATCTGCTCCAGAGCGTTACAGACCGCCCTCAGGGCGTTCCAGAACGCCCTGAGAAGGCCGGGGCGCCCGATACATGCTCCAGAATTGCCGGATCTCATGGATTCTCGATTTTTCCTCACACGATGTCCTCGCCCTGGTTTCGTCTTGGGGAGGAAGCGCGACCACCACCACCACCAACCTGCCAAGCTCGAACGTGGAGGTCCGCGATGTGCCTCCCCGAGCGGGGCGCCGCGAAACAGGGGTGCCACATGACACTTCACAAGGTTTTACCCTTCCAGGGTCCATGTGGACGCCCGAATTATCCGGGATAAGTGCTGTCCAGGGTAGCTCTGGTTTGGACCCCCGAGGCGCGAATCTGCAGTTACCCCTGGTTGACCCCAGACCTGATGCTTCGGGAAGGTTGGAGGCCCGAGTTATCCGGGATGACTGCTGCCCGGGCCAACTTCTGTTTGGGCCCCAGGGCGCGAATCTGTAGCTATCCCTGACCACCCCCAGCCCAGATGATTCGGGGCTCTGATCAGGGGAAACCAAAAGGTACCGATACCGCTACTCCCCAGACCTCTCCCTGGGTGCGTTCTGACAAGAAATTCGAGGCGAATCCAGCGGTGGCGACGAGGGCCTCCCAGGAGGCCCTAAAAGGGGAAAACGGGCGAGGGGGTAGAGGTATGGGTACCTTTTCCTCCTCTGATGACCCATTTCGATCCGATCGATTCGGCTCGATATCGATCGCGGCCGGCCCGATGCGCTTCGCTTTCAATTTTCGCCCCGTCGAGCGCGCTACGCCTTGAGCCAGGCGCTGCCCTGGGCCTCCTGGCGCGGCCGGGCCGGCCCGATGTACCGGCTCCGCACCGAGGCGGCCGTCAGCCGATGTGCGTTCCGATTCTCGGGACGATCGAAATGGGTAAGGAAGGAATGGGTACGATGCCCAACAACAGCTCTTGTTCATTTTGAACAGGCCTTGCTGTCCGCGCCGCTGCGGACGGTCTTCTTCGAAGACAAAGCCGCCTGCCCAACAGCGTCCGCTATCGGTTTTGGGCAACATTTTGTTGTTGGGCAGTGTACCCATTCCTTCCGTACCCATCTCGGGCGTCCGAAGATTCGATCCGGCTTCCCGACTCGACGTTCCCAGACCCCCTCGCGTCGCGAAAAAAGACACGGCGCGAGATTTTCCGCCATCTTCGACCCCCGGGGGCTTTTGCCGGTCCTCGGGGCCTTCGAAAAACGACTCAGGATGAGAAACCGGTCCCGGGGAAGGGGTCCAGACCCCTGGGGGTCGACGTCATGAAAAAATCATGACGTCAGGGGTCTGTGTTGACTAATCTCGCCCTTCCTGGCACTCGATGTTGACTGACCTCGCCCTTCTTCGGTGGCAAATCATGGGAGCCTGATATACCCTATTAATTCCGTCTTTAGCGTCGACTCGCGTGGATGAGCGTCTGGAAGTTCATGAGATAGCGCCGATTTCGCGTCGGCTAGCGTCGATGAGCGTCGATTTAGCGTCGATTAGCGCCGATTTGGCGTCGATTAGGGTCGACTCGCAAGAGCCGACAAGATGCCACGGGAGGCTCCCGTGAGTTGCCACCGAGCCCTTCTTGGCGATGGTGGTGGTGGTGCTGGCTTCCTTTGCTCCCAAGGAGAACTGCTGCCCCAGCACCAACCCCGTGGCGCTCCGCGCGGATTCCTTGGATCCGCGCTGGGCCCCCCCAGCGGCGCCTCCGGCGCCGCCCCCTTGCGCAAGGGGGGTCTGGCGCAGATCCCAGAAATCCGCGCGGACCGCCAACAGTTTATGTTCATGCCGTTGCTTCTTCTTCTAGTGGTGGTGCCGGCTTCCTTTGCTCCCTCCTGAGGAGGAGGAGGAGGAGGAGGAGGAGGAGGAGGAGGAGGAGGAGGAGGAGGAGGAGGAGGAGATGGTGGTGGTGGTGGTGCCGGTTCCCTTTGCTCCCAGGAGAATTGCTGCCCCAGCACCAACCCCGTGGAGGCGCTCCGCATGGCGCAGCTCCTCTCGAACCGGGCCTGCGTCGTCTCGGCCCACTCAGACCCGCGGGACGAGGCCTGGGCTCGGAAGTGGGGCGGCCGCGGCCCGATGCGGCATCTTCATACCTCTCCTCCTCCTCCTCCTCCTCCTCCTCCTCCTCCTCCTCCTCCTCCTCCTCCTCCCTCCTCCTCCTCCTCATAGCCATTTTGGCTCAATTACTTTGAGCTTGCAGTCACCGACACTTCAAAACGGCTGGGTGACAGCGGGCCTTTTTGGCACGGTCGCTCAATACGGCGCACCTGCGATGGGCGGCACTCGTGGCGGCGGTGGCGGCGACAACGGTCGCGGCCTGCGCTGGTCATGCCGTCATTGCGGAGGCAACAAAAAAACGAATCTCTCTACCAGTACTGCAAGCACTGCAAGAAGTGGTGGAATGCTCCAGTCGAGTCTGCCCCGGCCACCGACAGGAAGGCCCGCGGGGACCCAGGGGCTCTTCGGCGTACCGCTGCTGGAGTCGTTGCTGGTCAATCGTCCACCGCGCCTGCCACGTCGCCTGCCCTCGCGCCCAGCGAGACGGAGCTCGAGCAGCTTGTGCAGCTGTGCGAGAGGACAGGGAATCAGGAGATGCTGGGCCAGGCTCAGAAGGAGCTCGAGAAGGTCAAGGCGTCGTCTGTGCCGCCGCAGGAGCGAGCGGACAACGCTCACAAGGAGATTGCTAGACTGGAATAGAAGTTGGACAAGGATCTCAAGGTCGTGCAGGCGCTGGAGCAAAAACTGGCCAACCTGCGCGGCCAACTTGAGGTCACCCCTTCGGAGCTGGAGAAGGACGACCTGGAGCACAAGGCGGCCATTTCAGAGCTCCACTTCTCGGTCGCCAAGCCAGATGCCGAACCTCAGCCAGCGTTACCGTCCATCAGCCTCAATGACATCCTCGAGGGCCGCCTCACGGGTCTGCAGGTTGATGATGGAGGGTTGTTTGGCCTGGAGGCTGTCGGAGCTGAAGTATCTCAGCAGGACATTGACGAGGCCACCCGTCGGAAGGAGCAGATAGCCGATCATATCAAGTCTTGTTGCACGAAGCTGTTCGGAGAAATCAAGCGGCGCGCGGAAGAGCACAAGGCAGCTCATAAAGCTCAGTAGGACCGCTTGTTTGGTAAGAAGCGTAAGACGGACGACACGGCTGCTGCTGCTGCTGGAGCTTCTGGAGCCCCTGAACCTGCACTTGCTGAGTCTGAGGCCGCTGCAGCCATCGCTGGTGGTGGAGCCCCAGCCTCAGCGGCGGCTGCCAAGCCTTCGTCGGCTGGCCAGCCGCCGCCGCCTGCAGACAAGTTTGCAGCTGACGTTCGGGCAGCCGCTCAAGAGTCAGTCCAGAGAGGAGCTGTCGGCATTGTTTTGCCCAAGACGCCCCCTGGGCCGCCGCCCAAGGCCAAGTCGCCTGGGTAATAGAGCTGTGGCGGACCCCTCCTACCCCATGATCCCATCCTCTTGCCCAGTTCTGGATGCACCAGCCCTGCCTGGACGTCATAGGTCGCAAGTCGAATCTTCTTTTGACCAGTTGGGTTTGGAGTTCGTCACCGCAAACTTTACCCCGTGGAGTTCGATCAAGAAGTTTTTAGACCTGGCGACGGCGCGCGCCGTGCTGTGTCAGGAGCACGAGCTCGTCAGCTACGAAGACCGCCGCAAGGCCGAGGCTTGGTGCTGTCGAAACGGTTGGAAAGCTCATTTTTAGCCTGGGGCCCTGGGGCCTGGTGGGGGCCCGTCTGCGGGTGTCGAGGTCCTGGCTCGGTCCTTCCTGGGTTTGCACTACCCCGATCTTGGGCCCTGCGTGAAAAATCATCGGGCGACGGGGGTCCTGGTCCACCTTCCTGGCCAGGCCAGCTTTTATGCTGTCAGTGCTTACCTCCAGGGTTGTGCCGGTTTGAATGATACCAACAGGGACATCTTGGCGAGTGTGGCGGCTAAGGCTAAGAGCCTGGCCGTCCCATACGTCATAGGTGGTGATTTCACTGTGGAGCCGTCGGTTTCGGTGCGGAGGTTTGCTATCCGGCAGACTTCGCGGGCACCTGTCTGACTACATGTTGGTTGAGGCGCGAGTGGCGCAAGCGATTGAGAGCGTGAAGATAATCAGCGATTCGGACTTGGCCACCCATGATCCTGTCGCCGTGTAATTTCACCCCCAGCTCGCCCCCCTCCGCGCTCTCACCTTCAGGGACCCCCCCCCCCCCCCCTGACCAAGACACGTTCCCTTGGGCCCTTCCCTGAGCCTCCGTCCCGGTGGGATTTTTTGCCCAAGCTGGCCTCCCGACGCCTGTCTGCGGCCGAGAATGGAAACTCTTACCCAACCCAGTTCAGTCTTGATGTGCTGTAACGTGAATGGGGCACGGCCGCTGAGCAGGAGCTCGAGTCTGTCTTTCAGGCCCCCCTGCCCTTCCGCGGCAGCAGGGGGCGCCAGCCACAGCTGCGCTGGGTCAACGTCGTCGACGCGTCTGACAGGTCGATGTCTGGTATCTCCAGTTCGTCGTTAGAGGCCTCGCGATTGAGATGGCTGTGCAGCAGGTGTCGGCTCTGGCTCCAGCTTCGCGGTCTGGGAGCGCAAGCCCCCGACCATTTTTGTTGGCGCCTTCCTCCCCCCCCGCGCTGTGCCTTTGGATGTTTCGAAATACATGGTCCTCAGAGCGGGGAGCACGAGCTCCCGCGGCGGCGCGGCCTCTCCCTCCCCTGAGGAGCTCAGGCAGCAGCACCTAAGGGAGACGGAAGAAGAGTTGTTGCACCCCCCCTCTCGGTTTGGCCAGTGGGTTGGAGGCGCTCTCACCCGCCTCCAGCCGCGCAGGGCGCTGCCACCTACAGCCCTTCCGGCTGTTGTGAGATCCAAGGGGGGCCTATGTGGATGCTCGATATGGCCCTCCAGGCTTTGGCTGTTGCCGAGGGCATGGCCAGGCGGGCCGATCATAAGAGTTGGTTGGGGTGGATCCGTCACATCATCGAGAATGGCGTTCGCCACGCTCGCGGAGTCACGCGGGGGGCCGCGGGTTGGACGCCCGCGACCGCCCTTGGCGCCAAGGGGGAGGTTGCGTCGGACCCTGGGGCCGTCTTGTCCTCCGAGCTCGAGAAATTCTCGCGGTTCTGGCACGCGGACTCCCAGCCTGGGGCCCCCCAGGTCGGCGCTATGTTTGAATGGTTGGACCCTCTCCCTGTGCTTTCGGTGGAGGACCTCCGCCGCGTTTCGCGTTCTTTTCCGAAGCACACGGCGGCGTCCCTCGATGGCTTCCACGTTTCCCATTTCCAGCATCTTTCTGACCAGGCCATGGGGCCCTTGCCGATCATGTGGGCGATCTGGGAACGATCTGGATTGTTACCTGGCCAGGTGCAAGTTGCGTTGCTTATTATGTTGGCTAAGCCTGACGGAGGGCGTCGCCCTGTCGGATTGTTCGTTGCGGTTTATCGTATCTGGGCCCGTGCCCGTCGAGTTTATGCCCGCCAGTGGGAGGCAGAAAATTCGCGTGTGTGTGCGTTCCTCCCCTTATGTTTTTTGTTCTCTCTCTCTCTCTCTCTCTCTCTCTCTCTCTCTCTCCCTCTCTCTCCCCCCCCCTCTCTCTCTCTCTCTCTCTCTCTCTCTCTCTCTCTTTTTCTCTTTCTCTCTCTCTCTCTCTCTGTCTCTCTGTCTCTGTCTCTGTCTCTGTCTCTGTCTCTGTCTCTCTCTCTCTCCCTCTCTCTCTCTCTCTCCCCCTCTCTCTCTCTCTCTCTCTCTCTCCTTCCGCGCGGGTGCTTTCGCTTCTAGCGTCGGCGCTGTCTGGAGGCGATGGAGTGAGGTCGCGGTCGCGTCCCAGGATTGCTCGTCGCCAGTGTTCTGGGAACTTCTCAAGTTCTACGACCTAGACCTGCTGCTTGCTCGTTGCCGCCAGCACGCATTTCCCATGCAGACCGCCCGCGTCTGCTACACGGCCTACCGCGCGCGCAGATATGGCTATGAGTGGCCGAGTCGACGGCCCGCGGTTGGCTTGAAATGTGATTATTGCTTGTCGTGGTTTCGCGACCACGCCCAGTCGCGTATTCACGCTTGCGGTTTTAGACGGCCTCAGTTTGCCCAGATCGGCTTCGCTGGGTGTGCATATGGACGAGTATAGCTTGTCTTGTGCTGGTCGCCCCAGAGCGGTCGTTCAGGATCCCCTCAGTCAATCTTCAGGTTGTCAACGAGTCCGACCTGGGCTGCGCTACTTCTGTCAGCAAGGCGGCGGTCGTCGCCTCTGGGCCTCCTGTTGCTAAGGAGATCCGCCGTGGCCTTGGTGCTGTCGGTGGGCTTTCGCGCGCTGCCGCCGTCAACCTGGGCATGGATGATGCCGCGGGGGAACCGAGGAGGACTGCTAGGCGCGGGGGGGAGGTCCAGGTTCGGAAACAGGTTTTCAAGAGGAAAGTTCATCGGCTCGGCGCGCACCGCTCTTCCTTGGGTCGGCATGCCAAGCGCATCTTCACCAGCGGCCCCCTCGCGAGTCGAACCTGCGGCTGCGAGGTGCACGGCACCTCGGACCACGAGCTGTCTGGCCTGCGCAGATCGCTCGGTCGATTCCTGAGCCCTACTGACGGAAGGCGCTCGCTCACTGCAGCTTTGCTGTTCGCCGCCGTCCCCGCGCGGCACTGTGCGGTGGCCCCGGTTGTGCGCTGGTCTAAGGAAGCTTGGGCCCGCCTTGCTGGGGCTTTCGGGTTTGGCCTTAGCTTGGCTGAGTTGAGGAGGTCCTGGGAGTTTGTTTTCTCTGTTCCGATCCCCGCCCGGAGGAAGGCGGGCGGCCTCGCGGGGGCCACGCGGCTGTCGGTGGAGCGTCTTGGGTGGCACATGCCGTCCTTTACGACCCTGGTGGGCGACGTGGGGGTTGAGGTTCAGTTAACCTTGGTCTCGCCTGCCCTCCTCAAACGACTCCTCCGCTGTGCTGTTATGCGTTGTCACGAACGAGCCCACGGGGACAGCCTGGGTCTCAGTAGGAGAGCCTGCTTGGACGTGCCCTTGGCGGCTTTGGCGTCCAGCAAGTTTACTCCGTGGGAGAAGGGTTGTATCCGTGGGTTGGTTTGTCAGGCCCCCTGGA